TTATTTATTTATTTATTTATTTATTTATTTATTACTGTTATAAGGTAATATATATAAAAAAAAAAAAAACTAGGATTTCTCCCAGTGTGAGAATTATGACATTTGCTCTCTTGGCATCCCCTATTTTCTAATTTATGTACCATCCCTCCAAGAAGTAGGAAATTTAACACAAATTACTTATTATAATATTGTCATTGCTCAGGCAAAGCATAATTTTCATAGCATTCAATCTTGTTTGGTTACAGAGCCATGAAATAGACAACCAGACCCCACTTTCCAAGCCCACCTGTCACATCCTCTTTTTCAGAAATTGTCAGTAGTTCTCTCTGATGTTCAATACTATTGTATTTATAACCAGTAGAAAGCCAAGGTTTTACTCCATCAAAGGACACATTGTATTACATTGTTTTCTGTGCAGATTATTGTCAGTTTCTCTTTCAGTTCAAGCTTGATTCCTGTGGGAATCATATCGACGAGCTTAGCTGAATTCCTTATGGCTCTTGTCCCATAGTTAGAAAGCCAGAAAAATTGTGATAGTTATGGTACATTGTCTGCTTTTTGCACATTATCATTCTATATTGTTTGGTGCATTATTTAATTAGATAAAAAATTATTTAGTGTAGTACTACCATTAGTATAAAATTTGTGAACGTTTTCTAGTAAGATAATATAGAGGTGAAAATAGTAAGGGATTTCCTTATAATATCAACAGAATTTTTACAGAAGTTCTTAGTAATATTCATGAGTTCTAAAGAGGTATTTTTAAAAATCTGGTTCCATTTGTTGGAGAAATTTTGGTCATGAGCTTCTATTGTAATGGGTGCTTTTTGTATAAGAGATGAGGGTATGTTTCTATTCTGTATATTACCTCTATTGTAATGGGTGTTTTTGTACAAGAGATGAGGGTATGTTTCTATTCTGTATATTACTTCTATTGTAATGGGTGCTTTTTGTATAAGAGATGAGGGTATGTTTCTATTCTGTATATTACTTCTATTGTAATGGGTGCTTTTTGTATAAGAGATGAGGGTATGCTTCTATTCTGTATATTACAGAGTAGCATTGGCATGTTGATGGTATCTAGTGCATTTCTCAGTAAGGTTTCTAAATTGTTGAAAAGTTTTCTGCTATAGTTAAGGGAATCACAATTTGGTTTAGGTTGAGTGTTGTCAAGGAGTTGGGTGAGAATAATGCTGGAATGGCCAGATAAAAAAAAGATGAAGATGATGTCTCCTGCAGATGTGTATGATGAAGCATAAAGTAGACGTTGAAAGTCATTGTTAGAGTTGAGGTTACTAGATGATGGAATAAGGTATTATTGTGAAGGAAGATCTGCAAGAGAAGTGGGCACAGTTGGCTGTCAAAGATTCTATTGTAGAGCATGCAGTAGTTACAGTGACATTGGTTTTTAGGTAGTTTTGAACATAAGAATAATGAATGTCTTTAGTTGTGGAAACTAGATGTTGGTGGGAAAGTGATTTGGCTTGCATTCATTAGCAGAATCAAAAGAAATACATTGTAAATTACCGTAAGAAGGTGAAGGCATCATTGGGTGGGAAGATTGAGAAGCAGAGATACCAAAGTGTAAAACATTGGTAGCAGTTGAGTTGGAATGAAATGTGGAGAGTTGACAGGATAGGGTAGAAGAACTGCTAGTAACCAAAAAGTGGGATGATTGGGCTAACTTGGAAGAGGAAGGCAAGACTGGAAGAATACTGTCTGTGAGAAATAAAGTGTTTTAAATTTCGAATTAAGGTAGATATACCAGAGAAGTTGCAAAAAAAAAATATTCAGTGGTATTAGGTTTGTGTGGTTAATGAATTCAAGTGGAGGGTTGAGCTTACAAAGGTTTTAAATAAGTTTGTTAGAATGCTGAATTTTATTGTTGTGTTTTCATGGTGGTCTGCTTCTGCTAGACATTGCTCCATCTTTTCTCCCACTTAGCTTTACTTTGTCATTCCTAGTTTTCCCCTGATAAAAGGTCCTTCTTTCGAAACCGCTCGAGTTATAGCATTTGTATTTTTTATAAAAAAATTAACATCAAAAATGTTTTTAAGGATAACAAATAAATGTGGTATTTTTGTTTTTATTGTTTTATTTATTTAACTAGGGTGAAGCCATTCCAGATTCATATGCTGTCAGTCTCATGGGTAGTAACTTAACTACAGCTGCTTTGCAAGATATATCCAGACCTTCATGGTTTTCTGAGATGGGTAGTAGCAAATCATCCAGTCGAGTGTCCATTGGCCAGTTTATTAGAGCCAAAACAGAAGAATTGGGTTGCTTGAATGGTAGTGAACTGGGTTTGAGAGTGAGTTGTGTAACAACTTAAAATAAGTTAAATAATAATTTCTAATATATTAAAATAGTGCAACTATATCTGTGCATTAGTTGATGAAAAAAGCTACATCAAATTTAATAACTGAAATTATTTGTTAAACTTGCAGCTGAATAACTCAAATATTTCCTTACTTTGAATTCCGACTAGTTTTGTTTGTTAAAATCATTAATGTTAGATTTACAAAAAAAGCATCTTAGCTTGTTCATTATAATACATTTTTAATATTGATTTCTAATAATTGATTGTGCAAGATGTAATTACGAGTAATACTTTGCTAACATCAGGATGAACTATTATATAAAACTGTATCAATACATTAAATGTTTTTTTTATTTTTTTTATATATAGCTCAAGAACAGCATTCCTGCAACATTTTTCTCTTATTCACATTTTACTTGTTTGAAGATATTCTGTCTTGCTGCTTTTAGCAATTATTAGGTTTAGATCTTATTTTTATTTTCTTATATTTTTGCAGCCAGAGTTTGGAATTGATAAAAAGAAGATAGATTCTACAACAGATCAGTTAACGAAGTCTGAAAATAAAGGTACAATATTTGACCACTTTAGTAGTGACTGTCAAATATTTTTTGCAATGAATGTAAACATGATTGGAGTGGAACAGAAATATATAAATGTAAAGAATGTTTAGCATATACTAGTCAGGATACTGGTATTTGTTTGACTGATTGTTTATGGGATTAATCATTGCAACCACTGGGTAGCCATAAAAGTATAAATATTACAACTTTTAATGTAGTAAATGTATCTTCACTACATTTTACAAGCTTTTTCTAAACATTACAGGTCTTTTGTACACACAAAATTAGATTTTTTGGTTAAATATTTTCATGAAATGTATGTGAATTTATGGAGCCATAGTGTGGCTCTGACTGACTAGGCTGAGTGCAAAGTAAAAATACTTTCATCTTACAGTTTCATATTTCATTTGTAATACCTCTAGAACCTTCCAATGAATTTATTTATTTTTTTTTGTAAATATAATCTGTTATTTTTTTTACCTTAACATTGTATAAAGACTCATCCCTTTTAACCACCACATAATGAAGAAATATGAAACATAAATTACTGTCTGTGTTTTTTTTTCTACCGTAACTGAACATTATAACACTTTATTTATACAGCCAAAGCTAACAGATGTTCCATTCAGTTTTATTTATTTACAGTTTCACTTAGACCCTTTCAGTCTACTACAGCAGTAGCTATTTATTATGCCAGACAGCTTAGTGCAAACATGGAATCCAGTTATTTTTCTTTAACTGGACACAACATTTTGCTTTACAGCTTCTTCAAACATTCCAATAAAACACAAACCGTAACTGAAAGTACAAAACTTCCATTAAGAGAAGGAAAATTAAATGAAATCAAATACTCGTGATCAAATGAGAACACATGTCAAGTGCAAGCACAGCTGTGAAATTTGACATGAGAATGCTGGTAATAAATTTGCTGTTACAAGTCATTTAATATACATCAATACAGAAATTTAATAATATATATTTCTTCTGTTAGAGCCATCAGCTGAACTGACATGGAACAATGTGATCACAAAGGGGGTTTTTCGTGAGTCCTCTGAAGACTCTGCTCTTGGCAGGATGTCTTCATGTACAGTTTTGTCAGATTCTACTCAGGACAGCAGTGATTCTACGATGTTTAGTTGCAGCTCCATCTCCAAACTGTTAAGTGATGCGTCTCTTAGTGAAGACCCTTTTGTATTTGCTAGCAAGGTACTTGAGAAGTCAAAGGCTAGAACAGTAACAAAAAAGAAGGCCAAAGAGAAAAATAAAACTCCAAATAATGGGCTACCAACAATTAGGGAAGACACACCAGATGGTGAACACAAGAAAACTCTTACTGAACCATCATTGAAGGGAGTATATAATCCATTTCCAGAGTTTTTAAGCCTCAATACCTACTCTGGAAATGAAATTAACCAGCAGAGAAATAGATTCAGTCTTCAGAAAGCTGTTAATAAAACACAGAATATCGAAAGTACACTTCAGAAGAAACATGTCGATAAATTTGATGACAGTCTACTCAACAAAATCTGCAAGTTTGGTGTTGAACATGATTTAACCTTGAAAGGAAACATGAACTCACATTTGTTTACACCAGAAATAATGAAAGATCAATGGAAAGATTTGAAGGAATGGCAAGAGTTTAAAAGGCAAAAGGAATCAACTTTATCTACAACAAGTGATAAAAATAGTGAAGAAGAGAGTCGTATATTAAAGCCAAATTCATTTGTAAATGAAGTTTTAGGAAATATTAAAGATACAAGCACATCAGGTGTATCTGTTGTTACTGCTGATGCCATAACTACTCAGCATAAGGCCACAGATGGAAACACTATTACCTCAGTTTCCACAGCTATCAGTTCTAATACGAATACTTCATCATGTTACGGCCAACAAGTACTCAGTAGTTTTGATAATACTGTTCGGCTTCCTTTCCCTACTGCATTACACTTACCCATTGTTCAGTTGGTAGATTCAAACAAAGCAAGTAATGCAACTAATATACAATCAATAACACAACTCTCACAAGGTACCTCCATGAACCCTCCTACTGTACCAGTCAGCGTAAATGTTCATTGTAAAGTTGACCCTCAGCCAACATTTTATCCTAGCTCTTATACTACCACTTACCCTCCTGGTCTTCAGAGTCTTGGTGTGCCAACCAATTTCCAGCCAGCCGTTGCCCCTGCCTTAGAAAGTTGGTCAAGGTTCCATCAAGGGGTAGATCTCAACACTCCATTTGGAATGACTGTTGCTACACCATTCTTTCCTGGCTCCACCCAGTCAGTGCTGATTTCCCCTTATTCAACTTTACCTTCGTTTATGTATAAAGGTAGGTTGAATTCTGATCATGGAGTTTGGTTTACAGGAAGTCAGTGCTGATTTCCCCTTATTCAACTTTACCTTCGTTTATGTATAAAGGTAGGTTGAATTCTGATCATGGAGTTTGGTTTACAGGAAGTCAGTGCTGATTTCCCCTTATTCAACTTTATCTTTGTTTATGTATAAAGGTAGGTTGAATTCTGATCATGGAGTTTGGTTTGCAGGAAGTATTTATGAAGTATTGCATGTTAAGTGTTATGCATAACATTCTAAGACACTTTGCCATTGATGAGAACTTTAACATAGTCTTACAAAATCCTTTATAAACATATAGCTGTTAATATTTGCTCAGGATATCAAATTTTCATATCTATTGCCAAAGATGTATGGAATTCTGTTATTTATTACCACATATATGAAAGTTAGATATACACATGTTGTGTAAACCTAAGACTTATACATCAGTGCTGCCAATAAAATTTGGATAGTAGATGAGTTTCTGCACCTTTTGAAGAAAATTGAAAAGATTCTATCTACAGTAAGGTTAATTATCTTCAGTAGTATCGTTAGTTTCTTACATCTTTTGGATATCTTATGTTACAGCATAGCTGCTTAGTGTATCGTATGGCCAAAACAACTTTCTCTAGCTCGGACTATGGTAATCCAAACTATCACATTCTCAGTGGATGTGCTGTACTGGATCCTTACTTCACATACCAAGTTTCAAGGCAATCCTTTAAGAAATACACGAGATATAAAATCTCCAATTTTGATTGAATTTTTCTTCCCCTCCCCCCTCCCCTCTATTTTTCAAATTTGGTACACCAATAGATTTTTAAAACCTACAATTAGGTGTCAAATTTGGTCAAAATATAAGCCACATGTACAAAGTTATTCAACAAAACTCCTCAATGTTACAACTTTTTAGTGTTGATGAATGTGGTGATTTAGTATTTCTGTGCATGTTTTTCCA